ATTCTACAGAGCAGAATATGACAATTACTTTTCTTTTTTGCACCTTGAGTTTAATAAGCCACTATTATTAGTGCAAGTCCAACACTTTTATTTAATAAGCAAAAATACAATAGTTTGGGATTTCTTTTCTTAAAAATATTTTTTTCATATCTTATCAAAGACTGTCCAGGAAAATCTGTTTTTAGGCATATTCTCAGGGTAGCAGTTCATTTAAAGCAAAGATGAGCCAAAGTTTACCATTTTGCAGAGCTGATTTGTATCTGTAGCAGTGGTTCCCAACCWTTTTAGACTTGTGTACCTCCTGAGACATTTTGTCATACCACTATTACCCCTTCAGTCAAATGTAATGATGATTCTACAAAACTATAAAGTACTACAGATGATTATTAAATGAAAAGTATTTATTTAACCCCCTAAAATGTTTAATTCTCAGGCATTTTATTCTTTTCAACTCAAATTAAACCAAGATAAATATGTTACCATGAAAGTGAATAAGTAATCAAATAAATAAACCAGGTAATGGCAGCTAGGTGCAGGAAGCAGCAGTGTCCAAAATACATCAAATAACCCAAATGAGCAAATTCCATGAGATTCAGCATTTTATTCCATTTTATGTCAATTTCATAATTCCATTTGCATTTTCCACATTGCAGAAATCACAGAGCCCTACATATCTCAGTCCTATTTATATTTATTTTTTACACACCTGGCAAATTTTTCCACGTACCTCCTGTAATATGCTCACGTACCCCTGGTTGGGAATCACTGATCTATAGGACTTTAGATGGTTTTCAATGTTGTCTCATTTTTAACTTTACACTTAATTCATTATTTTTTTATTTTAAACATATAGAATGAGTATGATCATTTGGGAATATTCAATCTGTTGCAGGGGACTGACCATATTTTCCTAAACATTTATACAGTTTCCCTCACAGAGCTCACAGTTATCTTTATTTTGAGTAGTTTTACTGAGCTGCACCAACATTTTCATTAATGCACTCCCTGTATTATAAAACATATAATTATCTAATTATGTTGTTTGACCCATAGATATGACCCACGCCCCGACACCTCAGCAAAGCCCAAACAATAGACAAACAAACCCCGTGTGGTCTCGCGGGATCTCGTGGCTTCAGTCAGCTGCAGCTCCGCAGCCGCAGGCGGCTGTTGCTTCTTGTCTGTCTGACCAGAGAGGGAACGGAAAACTGAAATTCGCCTCATAAAGAAAGAACAATAGAATATATGATCGTTTTATGTGCATATACAAAGACGAAAATTGTTCTCTGCGTTTGACCCAAAACATGCGTGAGTTACACAGCAGCGGGCTGACAAATTGTTCCTGTGCGGGGAATCGAACCCGTGATTTTCCTGTCATTATTCAGCTGCGCCATAATAATAATAATAA